CTTGGATCCACCTGGGACAGCAGAACGCTCCCCTACCCACAAAACCAAACAACCTTCAAGCCCCTCCCAACCCAAACCATTCCATAATTCCGGGATTCTCTCCCGCCAGCCGGGTTCGGATCATCCCAAAGGATGGGATCCGTGCCATGCTCACCATCGAAGACAGCCCGGCTGTACTGGGTGGTGGAGGCCAGGGGCAGGCAGGTGGTGTCGAACTTGTTGCCGTAATTCCCGATGCTGACCTCGAACTGGATGGCGCCGTCCACGCCCTGGAGCATCGTGGCCGAGTAGAAGGCGGCAAAGAGGGAATATTTCCGTCGACGCAGGTATTTCTGGAATACGGATGGGAATTGGAAGTGGAGGAGATGCTGCTGATGATCTCCAGGAGGCTGAGCCAGGAGAGGCGGGAGGGTAAATCCTGAGGAGCGGCTGAGGGAGGTGGGAATGGTCTGGAGAACAGGGAAAAGCTGAGGGAGGTGGGAATGGTCTGGAGACCCAGGAAAAGCTGAGGGAGATGGGAATGGTCTGGAGAACCAGGAAAAGCTGAGGGAGGTGGGAATGGTCTGGAGAACCAGGAAAAGCTGAGGGAGCTGGGAAGGGACTGGAGAACCAGGAAAAGCTGAGGGAGATGGGAATGGTTTGGAGAACCAGGGAAAGCTGAGGGAGATGGGAAAGGGGTTCAGTCTGGTAAAAACAGGGATCCAGAGGGACCTTCTGGCCCTCTACAACTCCCTGGAATGTTGGAACCAGGTAGAAGATGGGCTCTGATCCCAGGGAATAACAGGAAAAGAGGGAACAGCCTCAGGCTGTGCCAGGATCAGCTCAGGCTGGACAGCAGCAGGAATTTCCTCATGGAAAGGGCAGTAAAGGATTGGGAGCACCCAGGGAGGTTTGGAATCCTCATCCCTGGAGGTTTCCAAAGAATTCCTGGATGTGGCTTTCAGTGCCGAGGTGGGAATCGGGCACAGCTCGGACTTGATGACCTTGGAGAGCTTTTCCAACCTCAGTGATCCTGGGATGGGAATCTACTTGCAGGGGGAAAGACAAACTTTGCAGCACAGGAATTTTGGGGGAATTTTAGGAAAAACAGATGGAAGAGGAGGCTGCAATTCCTCATGGAAAAGGAGCCAAAGGAGGAAATCTGAGAGAGCCGGAATGAAGGGAAATCTCCCACAATGTCATGGGAGACCTTGACAAGTCTAAAGGAGCTCCAGGAGAGCTGGGAATGTTCCCCTGGAGAAGGGCAAAATGCAGGGAATGCTGAGAGTCCCTGCAGGGGCTCCAGGAGAGCTGGAGAGGGACTGGGGCCAAGGGCTGCAGGGCCAGGAGCCAGGGAATGGCTTCCAGTGGGAAAGGGGAGATTGGGCTGGGATCTTGGCAAGGAATTCCTGCCTGGGCTGCAATTCCCACATTTGCTGGGGCTCATCCTGGATCCCTGGCAGCACCCAAGGCCAGGCTGGACTGGACACTGGGATTGGATCCACCTGGGATCAGAGATTTCTCATTGTCCATGGAACAAGGTCAGCTTCAAAGTCCATTCCCACCCAAACTATTCCATGATCCCACCATTCCATGCCCACCATGACCAACTCAGATGGATCAACCTGGGCACTTTGGGGTGGAAATCCAGCAGGAAACCCAATCCAGGAGCTCATGGACCATGGGAAAACCTCCACCCATGGCTGACATCCCCTCCATAGCATCCCACGTGCCAATCCCAGAGATTTTCCAGAAATTCCAATACCTCCACCCTCAGGATGTCATCGGCAGGAATCTCCTCCACCTTCTGCTCCATGTGCTCCACCAGTTTGGTCTCCAGCTCCACCAGGATCCGGCCCCGATACGCGACCCCCTCGCCCTTGGGATAGACCAGGAACAGGCGTCAGGATACCGAAATTCCCTTCCCGAGACCGAGCTCTGCCTTTGCTTCCAAGGAGCTCCACTGCAAGCACCGAGCTCAGGCAAAGAATTCCAGCCGGCACTTCCAAGGTGGAATTAT